TAATTAGTACGCATGGAGTGTAACATATAAACAACTTTTCCCATTGTAAACATGCATTCAGGGTATCTTGCATTGTTGGGTCATTGCTGGTCAGAGAAATTGATCAAGACGATAGAAGCAATAAAGCTATGATGTAAAAAGTTTAGTGAGGAAAGAGGCATGTGTGTAAAACTCAAACAGTTACATCAGGTTGACAATGGTGTCTCTGTTCTCAGCTAATCCCCAAACAAAACAGGCAAGGGCACATGTGCGCTGCGAAATGTTCTCTTGCCTTAAAGCCTATTCATAGCTGATAGAAACAGATTAACACCTGCCTGTAAATGCAGTAGTGGTACATTTGTGTGCATTTTATCGACGTAATCAATGTGAAATCGAGCTATTTGTTGGTAAAAATGATCTGAATTTACTAATTTTGTGGTTCAAACAAATATCTAGAAATGTATCAAAACCCTGTCCGACAAAACAATGTGGATGTCTTTTAACCAAGAGAATTAGACTAATAATTTTAAAGCTTCATCTTTTTTGCTCTCCGTCTTTTTCTTCATCTACCCCAGCTCCACCAGGTGCTAGTGCAACTCCAGACGGGCGAGAAGGAACAGGACTTCTCTCTCCTGCCGATTCAGGTGTCCATTAGTGTGCAACTCTGGAGACTTCCAGGATGCCATGAGTTTTTGGCAGCACTTGGTGAGTGAACTTGTATCCCCCATCAAGGTTCCCACATCGTATCCAATAACTTACAGATATGACATGCATTTATCGTTGCTTGAACATGCAGGGTTTGACTTGTGTGAGGTAGGCCAGGAAGAAGTGGTGCTAAAAACGGGCAAGCTAGCCAACCGCCGCACATTGCACTTTGCTCTGCAGTCTCTGCTGGCACTATTTGGTTTGTATACATTTGTCTTATTGTTTTTGTGCCATACTTGCTGAGTTGTGCCAGTTCTTGTGTCATATTTTGTCTTAATCATCTCTTACAGATTCCACAGAACTGCCAAAGCGTCTGAGTCTAGACAGCTCATCTTCCCTTGAGTCTTTGGCCTCAGCGCAGTCTGTTTCCAACCCTCTGCCAATGGGTTATTCGAGCCTTCCCTTTTCTCCTCATTGCCTGGACAATCAGGCATCGGATGCCATCTCGGTCTATAGCCTCAGCTCTGTGGCCTCCTCAATGAGCTTTGCTTCCAAATCCGATTGTGACATCCTCAGCCATCGGCACCGCAGTGGTACAGCAGCACATTATGCGGCCCACAAGCACCCTCATGTTCCCCGGAGCCGCTCTTCTCCTCATGGAGCAGCGACTGCTATGTCAGCAGCTCGAGGGGAGGAGGAGGAATATGAGGGCTTCTCTATTATCAGTAGTGAACCACTCGGGAGCCACTGTGACTCTTTGCCTTTACCACCAGGCCACAGCCAGCGCCACCACAGAGGAGGTAGAGGAGTTGTTGCTAGGTTAAGCAGCGGGTCTGGAAGAGGTTACTCTGTGTCAGTGTCATCAAGAGGCAGTGTCAGCACCCCCACTTCCCCAGTCAAAACATCCCTAGTTCCCAGTCCAAACTCACCATTTCAGAAAGTCGGTAAGGTGAACAGCTCAGACACGGGCGAATCGGATCAATCCAGTACAGAGACAGACAGTACTGTGAAGTCTCAGGAGGAAAACAGTCCCCCTCTTGATCCTCAGGAGCTGGCACAGAAGATTCTGGAAGAGACACACAGCCATTTACAGGCAGTCGGGAGTCTGCAGCGAGCCAGAGTGGAGGGTGGAACTTCTTCAAGAGGAAATTCACCACGGAGTAGCGCCTTCCGCTCCTCTGAAACTAGTGCATTCAGCCGTCCGAACAGCAGCGCTAGCGGCAGAGCTCAGTCTTCACCAAAACCCAAACCGCCCTCCCGCTCATCGTCTCTACAGAAAATAAGCTCTGGCTACAATAGTCCGGCTGTCTCAGAGTCTTCACAAAAAGACGGCAGCCACGCTTCGCCTATTTCGGACAACCATGCACAGTTCAAGCTGAAGTACCCAAGTTCCCCATACAGTGGCCACATCTCACGTTCCCCCAGTAATGTGTCTCCCAGTTCTGGGCACCAATCACCTGTTGGGAGTGCCCCCTCTCCTGCTCTATCCTACTCCTCTACAGGCTCCGCCACGTCGGCTGATGTACCAGACCTTGATCGATTAAGAAGAGGGGTTATTGATGAAAAAGTCCAAGCCATCCACAATCTGAAGACCTTTTGGGCGAATGCTGCAGCCCAGCAACATCTTGGCCCAGTCAAAGCTGTTCATAGCTCCCCTAGTCCTCTGGCATCTGCTAGTAGAGATGTCCTGAGCCTTCTGAACCTGTCTCCACGACATTGCTCCCCCAATGAGACCCAAGACAGCCTGGAGCTGCGGGAGCTGGGACTCCAGTCAGTGGAGAGGGTGGGTAAGAACTCCAATGGGATTCACTGCTCCAGTCCCAAGAAAGGGGCTGCGTCACCTACCATTTCTACAAGCAGTAGTCCTGGTGCTCGTTCGATCAGACTACCTGCTGGGAATGGATACAAATTCTTGTCGTCTGGAAGATTTTTTCCTTCTTCTAAGTGCTGAGACATCCCGCTCTGTATGTGGTGAAAAAGTCGGTCAGTTTTTGAGGACCGCAATTGACCAGCCAAGCTTTACAGACAGTGAGAACAATTATTGATTTGGGGGTGTGAGGCAAATGCTTGCAATTTTGTATGTGTGCCCAAAACTCTGTAAATGGCAATGAGAAACACTCAATGACCTGATACTGTGTTTGTGTGTAACTGTGTGTCAGGTAAATGTAAATGCGATTTGGTCTTTCCCCACAATACATTGTGTATGCGGACCAAGATGCCACAACCATGACTGACTTCTTCCATTTAATTTTTGTTTAAAAAAATAATGGTAATTGTTAATATTATTATTATTATTATTATTATTTGTTATTGTTATTAATATTATTGTTATGTTTGTAAATTAATTCCAGTGTTTCACAATCAGTATTAAGCATTTTTATATTGTTAAAAAAACATGTACCGTGTAAAGATGGATACAGTGGAAGAAAAGATTTAATATTTTTAATTGAAGTCAAAAGGGCATTTTGCCTGATTTCTTTGTGAATTGAGTGTCTGCTCTGAAGCATGGATTCCTTTGCTATTCAATGTTAAGTATGATGTATGAATTTTTAGCCCATGATTTTTTTTTTTTTTTTTTAGATTTAACATCACGGTTTCATGACAACCACCTGTCATTTATCAGTAAACTGTTTCAATAAAAAAAAAAAAAACTCACCTTTCTTCTTTGGATCTTTTAATCTGCTGCCACTCTACTACTACCTGAATGATAACTCTCTCTGGGTGGACAAACAAACAAAATTAGGATATATACACTCACTGGACTTGGTTCAGTGTAATAAACCAGTACAATAGCTGTCTCAAATGTGTTTTTACAATATGCAGACATTGTAGACCTACTACATATTGCAAACTTTTTTTTTTCTTTGACAATATTCAAAGCTGAACATTATCTAAATAAAGCCATGATTTGTCTGCTGTATCAGATTGTGCAAGTCTACCTAATGTTTAGAGAATGTTTACTTTTCCATTTTCTGTCGTGCTTCTCCTCATGTGGTTCGTGGGTGAGCTGGTTGCTCACCTGGCTTTGGGCGTTGGGCGGGGTACCTCCCGGACTGGTTGGAACTTGGAGTACCCAAAGATTAAACTTGTGAGCACATGCAAATTCCACATCTTAAACCCAGAGCCGGGATTTGAATCCTGATCTTCAGAACTGTGAGGCACACTGGCTAACCACTTGTTGACTGTGCTGCCCTTATTTGAAGTACAAAATGGGCTGTACTGTACTGTACTGTACTGTAGTAAACTGTGCAAATGCTGCACATTGAGTATTCTGGTAAAAAATATTGGTTGTTGCTCACAAGAGGTGAAACAAAAGTTGCATATGAAGGGATCAAAATCCAAATTCTGGTGGCATACGGTTGTACCAATAAGTCTGGGAGAAGCACAACATGCACATTAAATGTAAGAAGGTAATTTTAAAGTTTCTCTTAAAAGGTACATCTCTGACTGCTACTCAAAGATTTGTCTGTCAGATTGTCAGAAACATGAACAATGAAATGAAACTAAACGTGCTGTATGTAACACATACAGCACATTTGACAATAAAGTTGTACTTGATACTTGACTTGATAAAGCCCATCTGGACAAAATTCACAATGAAATTTAAACCTAAACTCGGTCAGTCACAAATCATGATACTGAGATAATATACTCTTAATGTTTGTGCGAAGTCTGTTCTTTGAGTGGCTCTAATTGTTCAAAAGAGGGATCCTAGCGTAAAACACGCAGCCCAAAAACAAAAAAACTGAAGTTTTCAGTAACAGTTGCAAAATAAGATGGCTGCCCTCTGGCCTAGTGAGGGGCCTATTAGTAGCCCGTTCATATATATCGTTCAAAGGGTTGAACGAGAGTAGCTTGCTGTGTAACCAGTCAGTTCTGTGTGGAGAGTAAAGAGACATGACTTGCTTTCGTCTCGTCATTTACCACATCTCCTCAGTAGGATTATTTAATAATCATTCATTCAATTGGGCAACATATGTTATTTGTTGTGCGTATTCATGAATTTAGCCCTGTTACCCCCAGCGGTAACTAAGTACGAAGACTCTGTTACTGTACTTAAGTAGATTTTTTTTCAGGTATCTGTACTTGATTATTTCCTTTTTTTTGGTTTCCCCTCACTAAAGGACATAAATCATTTTAACTTTACCAGAATCTGTTTTTAACACAAATGCCTGTGCTTTAGAATTGTAGAAACTACTGAGGGAGCTTTTGACCCCTTTGTTTTTTTGGCCATAAAATGAAATCCAACTGTTAAATGTTTACCAAAAAGTGGCCTTTTCAGCAACGTGAGAGTGATTTGAGGTTTCACTGGCTAACGCATATGATGAGTACCAGCGTCCGGCCAATCACCTAACGCAAAGGGCGGGGCTAAGTATCGTTTTTTTTCCCCACACAGCTGATGACGTCAACGGCAATCAGCGGTCGAGACAGTGGTACGACGTATTGGTCTGCGAGCTTGAAACGATGGTCCTCATCAAGGAGTAGTAAGTGTCATACTGTTGCTAAGTCTTTCTTTTCAGACTTCTTTTACAACTAGATACGGTTTAATAAGAGGTTTAGATCGGGTGTGGCAGGGGTTCGCGGACTGGATACTAGCGACTAGGAAACTTTTCATCATCACTGCGACTGACATTCACACGAGGGAAGGGTGGTGGCATTGCCCAACAACTACTTTGTGGCCTACCGGCGTCGACAGCTGCTGCTATCTTACTGTTTGCCACATATACGTAAAGTAACTTAATTATTAACAGCCCAGTTAATGGCTGCCGTGTGGTTTTTTTGTAAAAAGAGTGTTGCTTCTCTTTCGTTAAGTAGTTGAACTTGACGTAAACAGTATATTAGCTTAAAAAAAGCTAACAGAGATAATATTTAGTAATGAGGGTGGACGATCGACCGAGGCTTTTGAAGTTATCTCAATTTAAGTAAGACTTGATACGATGACAGTGCTACCTTTTCAGAAATATATTTCCATACACCCCTGGGAACTCGTGTGTGCCCATGTTGTGTTAACTAAACCCTACCGTGTCCTGTATTTAGCTAGCTTTACTACTTCGATTAGTGTTAAAACCGTTAGCAAATAGCCCCGAGCCTTAAAGCTGGAGTAAACGATGCCTGTACGAACATCAAGCCCAAGGAACTCAACAATCTCAAATCATACCTTTTAATTTATAATGCTTTCAGAAGACTATTTGGTTGTCGATAAGTAGGACTAAGCACTTCCGCTGCCCAAGCAGATGTCAGTTAAACACTGAATGCTTTCCTACAGATTCGCACATTTGTCACGTTGTGCTCCATAGTCCTAGCATAACTCTGTTACACACTCTTATTTTGAACGAATTTTGAAGAGTCACGTTGACATTTTTTGTTCCAAATTTCGAATGCAACACATGATACAGCCTGTTAACACCCTGCATTTTTTGCAGTTTACTATATTTGCAACGCCGAATGTCTAAATAATCAAATGAGAATTTCTGACAACAGCTTAAATTCTCCAAAATAAGGAATCATATCAGGCATATGCCTTGTGCAATAAATAACCACTTGCATTCGATGAAATCGAATGTATTTCTAAAAAATATATTTGCAGGGAGCCATTACATGTCCGTTGGATGAATGGCAATGGTTATAAATGAAAATTAAACAATCCAATGAGAAAACTTGATTATAACCAAACACACTGCAGTGGTTATAACTCCCATAAATCAGTCATACCAGCAAATATTTTTGAACATCTTCCTTGAAAGCTCAACTTTAAATCTAATTTGAAAGGGCACTGAAAAAAGAAATTTGTAAGAAAGTCAAATAAGAATTAAAAATAAAACACTAAAAACAAACACTGGCTTTTTCTTGTGCGTTTTTGGCCTTTTAGGGGCAGTGTGGTGCCGTGCATGGATGAAGTGCACGACAGAAGTCTATTAATATAATTTGTTTTTGTGGATGGGTTTCCACATTGTTTGCGTGTGAATATTTGTTATTTGAAGGAATATCACCCCGAAGTCCATGCTAAGGTCCCGTTAGCATGTCAATCCAGAGTCCGTTGGTTCTAAGTCTGTTCAATTGAGGTTATGCTCTGTAAAACGTTTTTCATTCATTTAAATTGATGTAGTACTTGCATTGCGTTTCACCTCCTGATACTCATCTCTCTCTGTGTCTTTGTTAGCCGTGTGGTTTTACCCTGTAGTGTTGAGGAGGTGAGTAATATTTTTCCTATTATGGAATTGGCAAAAGTATCTTGTGATGTTCAAATGTGTGTATTCCTTTTAATTTTGGACTGGCCCAGTGACCTAAACATACATCTGAACTATTTCTCTTAAAATGGTTTGTTTTCCCAAACAGTGAAAGTAAACGTATACATATCAGAACAGAATTATCTTTGTCATTTCTAATGTGCCCCTACATTCGCTATTGAAAATGGAACCACCTTCTTTTTTTCCAAAATATTTTCTCACAAGAAATATGGTACATAGCAATAATTTCCATGGTCAAACTTTCCCCCGTATTAGTTCTAATTGACTCATGATTGTTGGACATTCATTCATTCATCCATCCATTATTCAAGCCGCTTATCCTCATGAGGGTCCAATTTTTATACCATATCAACATACGTTAAAACCTGTTAAAACTAAGAAATAAAAGCAAAACCCTCTTGTAACTTTGACAAAGACATGAAAGGAACGTTAGCTGCATCGCAGAAACATCTTAAAAACTCTCTTCATGTATCTGTAAAAAGAAGTTGACCGCAAAAGATAAATGGAAATGTAATTCCACCTCGCCTTGGTCAGCAAGTGATGTACATGTTCGCAATGGGGAAAATATCGGGATATAGCAGAAGTTTTACTGCTGTAAAATGTGAGTCTGCTAACTTTGACTACTTTGCTTTCCACTGGATAACTGTAAACAACGCACACAAGTTATATCTTATTCAGCTCATGATTTAGGGCAGCGGTCCCCAACCTTTTTTGCCTCACGGACCGGTTTAATGACAGACAATATTTTCAGCGACTGTCCTTTAAAGCCGGATAAGTACAACAATATAATATGATCTGCATGAAAACTGTGGTCTTTTCGTAACATAATAATAAACACGAATCATAACACCAGGAACGTTCGACCTGGCCGCAACACTCTCTGCTCGCTATGGTAACATTTAAACGTGTCTTCAAAATAAGATACACCGCAAATAAAAAGTGCATGAAAAATACGATTCACCATCGCCGCATATAATGCAGAGCGGGTTTGGTGTGTGGGAATCTACGTTGAAATAAATCTGTATCTTAAGTAAATTTGAAAAATTATTGAACTAGGTTTGCATTTTGCCATAATCCACAGAGAAGCTTCATGATGGTGCATACATACACTTTGTTATCCTGAAAGAGTGTTGCATGCGCAGAGTCAGTCTTTAGAGTTCTCATGAAGTGTGATGACAACCTATGTGAAGTCATCCCTGGATTCATCTTTTTGAAAATAACGTTTGCAAAGAGTTCCATCCAAATGCTTGCGACTTCACATGTGTTTGGATTGTGGAAATAATGTCATATTTGCATTGCAGTACCAAGTTGGGCAGTTGTTTTCTGTGGCTGAAGCAAGTAAAAATGAAACCGGCGGTGGTGAAGGGATTGAAGTACTCAAAAATGAACCCTATGAGGAACATGGAGAGAAAGGACAGTATACTCACAAAATCTACCGCCTGAAGAGGTTTGTCAAACTTAATATTGGATTGTTGTGCTCCATTTTACAGTAATTGCAGTATCTGGCCAGCTGATGGCAGCATTGTATAACGTTTTAGGGACACACAAGTGCTATTGAATGAGAAAACTTATGTACTTGATTGTTAGTGTACATATAGGTACTGTTGTTTACAGTATGTAAACCATTATTTTAAACGTTATCTTTTCCTTTCACCATATCCATCTATTGCCCCTTCTTCCACACCAATCCACAGTAAAGTTCCAGCATTCATTCAGCTCTTGGCACCAGAAAGTGCCTTTGTTTTTCATGAAAAAGCCTGGAACGCCTACCCCTACTGCAGAACTGGTGAGTCGTGTCTTCCAGTGGTTGTTGGCCCTTTCCGCTATGCCTCCTACTATTTTCTGACTGATTGTCTGAATTTTTCTTTGTTGCTAATGTCATGTTTCTTCCCCCCCGACCACCCTGCCCCTTTACCGCGACTTGGTCAGAAGTGACGGTAGGTCTCCTATGATGGCTGAATGTTTGGTGGTTTTTGTAGAATGATGCATTATAGTTAATACTACACTGCTCCGTATCCATTTTTGCATTCCCTGTAGAATGAGTATATGAAAGATAATTTTTTGATCAAGATTGAGACGTGGCATAAACCGGATCTTGGAACACAAGAAAATGTGAGGAAATTACACCAAAGGAATTTATAGCATTGTTGTATGCCTCAATTTATTTGAATGTTTTTGCTTTAGGTGCACAAACTAGATCGTTCAACTTGGCAACAAGTCGCTGTTGTGCCCATTGACATTGCTGACAGAAGTCAAGTTTCAGCTTCTGTAAGTAAAAATTAATACCATAAAAGCACTGTTTAGTACCTTCTTGTGGACACGCTTGGTTATTACATGGCCACCAATTTCTTTGGAACGATTTATCTCATGCCAATGGACTCTTTGCTCATAATCTCTCTTGTTGCTGAAATTGCTTCAGTCTTTTCCAATTTTGCTAAATTATTATTCTAAATGCCGTTATGCACATTTAACCAGAAGAACGTTCAAGGTATTGTTTGCTGTTATATTGCACAAAACTGAGGATGGGTCAAACCGAATTCTGCGAAACAGATATGAAGTTGCAGCATCTATGTGCCAAGAGACCATTAATTTTCAAACCAAAAATGAAGAAAAAAAAATTGTTTTTAGAAAATGCATAGTGGAAGTCATTATGCATATTATATTTTGTTTTACTCAGCTCTGCTAGAAGCTTTTCTCACCACTCAACACCAATCCATGAAGATATTTTAACAATGGAACCAATCTGATTCAAATAAGACTTTATTAACTTAGGACGGCACAGGGATTGACATGCATGCCTCACAGTTGAGAGGTTCTGGTTTGAAATCTTGGCTCACGCCTCCATGGGCTCCCCATGCTAGCATCGGTTGTGTGGGAGTTAACCGAAGAATCTAAGAATATATATATATATATATATATATGTGTGTGTTGTTACCCCAAAGATGGCGAACAGTGTAGAGCAGGGGTGTCAAACTCACTTTTGTCGCGGGCCACATTGTAGTTATGATTTCCCTTGGAGGGCCGTTATGACTGTGAATTCTGTGAAAGCACATAAATGTTGAACCACCTCCACATATTACATAAACAGCGAGCAACAAATAGATGGATAACTAGTTTTGACATCAGAAGCCAAGAATAATGCATTGTTTAAACATTGTAATGATTACATTATATCTGAAAATTTAAACATTTGGTTCAGACTTCATGGAACTTGACATGCTTGAATTGTTTGCTCGGGTCACATAAAATAGTGTGGCCCCCGGGCCTTGACTTTGACACCTGTGGTATAGAAGATGGATGGAAGGTCCTTATATTGACAATATTTTTCTATGATTGCCTCACGTCAGGAAAATAAAAATCTGAAGATTTTAGGTGTCTACATATTATTGCTGTTATTTAACATCACATTGCCTCATTTCTGCGTGTGTGTGTGTGTGCGTGTGCGTGCGCGTGCGTGTGCGTGTGTGTGTGCGCGCGCGCACATGTGCGTGTGCATGCACATAAATGTCTGTTTGCCCTGGGAAGTTAACGAGGCGGACATGTTTGTCTTTCTGGAGGAGTGTGTTGTGTCTAAGGGCCCTATCAATCCTCAGCCTCGGGCATGGCTGCAGGCCCTGGGACATACCGCCTACACCGATGAGTTTGTTAGTGTAATTACAGCTCACAGTTCTTCGTATGGCAGCATTCGACAAACGCACACGATGCACACAGGTCACACTCACACACTCTGGTTTAGTGGTGGAGTTTCTCCCTTTTTGTCTGCCACGGCACATTGATTCACAGACCTCATTAGTGCTGCACACTGCATTGTTATGGGGATCGAGCTCCCAGCATTAAAACAGTCAAATTAACGTGTGCGTATTTCCCACTGAGTTTTGCACCCTCCTGTTGACTGATCGCCCTGAAAAATAGCTTTTAGCTGCTGGCACATCATGATTTATTTAAAATTGCTGGGTCCCCGAGCAGTTGATAAGTTGAAATCCTTACATTATATTCAGTATGTTTTTTCTTTTTGCTCATCCTGTAAGTTTAACCTCACTTCTTATTACAGCTGCAATAATTCCATCAGCAAATTAGATCATGTCACCAATGATACAAAATGGGTTTTGGCGAAAACATCAGCCCGATACCAGCCTTATTTCAGTGTATCGGCTACTCATGATGGCAGCCGATACCAGTCACTGCTACTAAGGAGCGCACTTGTGGCCTTTTTACTATCAGGAATTAAAATGGCATGCGTGGCCGACAGATCATTTTTCTGAGTGATTTATATACCCTGTAAGATGCAATTACTGTAAGTGTATGTATGTTCATATGGTTTATATTAATGCATACATTTCATTATTCGTGTGTTGCTACCAAAATGTATTTGCCAACTCATTTTCTGAATAGCTGACGGTGCTTTTCTCTTTTGATTTCCATCCATGTCCATCCTCTCATATGCCCGCTAAGGTGAAATTTCTAAGCGTATGTGATGTTGTAAGGTTTAGAGTCATGCTTGGGGTGCATTATACTATACTGTACTGTACTATGCTATATTACACTATTAAACAAGATGTGCTGTTTATCATATTGTGTCAGTTGTTGTCACCATAGGACTACAAGCAGGATGAGGACCCCGCCAAGTTCAAGTCAATTAAGACGGGAAGAGGACCACTTGGGCCTCTTTGGAAGGTATTTCTCGAGCATTCCACTTGGCTTTGTAGTTCATCCCAAGGGTATTGGATGGGTTTGAGTTTGGGCCTCTGTGGAAGTTCTTCCATACCAAACTTACCCAAGCATGCCTTTATGGACCTTGCTTGATTTCCCTCTTCATTTTTTTGTATATTTTCCTCACTTTCATGTTTAAGATCATCAAACAAATGTAAATATCAGACAGACAACCAACCCCAAGTGTATTGGTTCAAGGCTACGATGTGTCTTTGTTTTGTTAGTTATGTCATTGTTGTACAAACCCAATTCCGATGAAGTTGTGATCAACAGAAAACCTGTACAATGATTTACAAATCATTTTCAACTTATATTTACTTGAATACAATACAAAAACAAGATATTTAATGTTCAAAATGACAAAATGTAAATATTTTCAGCAAATAATCATTAACTTAGAATTTTATGGCTGCAACGTCTTCCATTTCTTTTTTGGCTTCCATTTCTTCTTAATATATATTATAATAATATTAATAAAATTAAACAAGTGGGGAAACTATGCAAAAAGAAATGAAAATCTGAGAAGAGGACAAATACTTTTTTCACCACAGAGTAATTATATGCAATCAATTGGGTAATAGTTGGGTAAAAAAGTCAAAACATCCATGAATAAATCAATCTTGATCAAGAAGACTGAGCAGCTTTTGTTTTAAAAGACTTAAAAATATAGGCTCTAAGTAATTAAGTAAAATTGTAGCACACTTTATTGGCCTGATAAGCTGTTTTGCACCCAAGAACTAGTGTCTGTCTGTATTTATCAGGACAACATTGAGCAGGAGTGGGGCTGTAAGAATGCGAGGCTGATGAAGATAAATCACCACTTTCTCTATTCTAATTGCCTCTAATAGAAATTTCAAGTTGCCAGGGCAGATAATGGCTTTCTTCTCTCAGCTCTGTCCTCTCGCTCAGTTTGTCTGCCACGAGAGAGAGATGATCATGACTGATAGTCATCTGTGCAAAAACTTTGACTGGAGGATTGTTACTCCCCTCTGAATCCTTAAGTTCTGCTGTTACCTGCAGCCTCCCAAGAGTCCTTTTTTAATTTATTTTTTAAAAATAAACAGCTTTATAATTTCTGCCCTGCTCCCGCTCCCTCAGTCTTTAAACATAGGAAACCTTCCTTTGCCACCAGAAATTCTGCAGAACACAGGCTGGCAAACGACTTTAAAACTGTGAATAAAGAAACACAACTTTTCATTTGTGTTTTTAATTAGATCGTTTTCCCAGCCACAGTGGACACTGAAAGAGTCTGAAAAGAATACTGTGACAACAGAGGGACAATTTTCTGCAAGGCTCACGGAGCAATAAAACTCTTGTCTATCTCTGCATGCACACATGCTTGCATATCACTTCCCTTTGTATTTCTCAAAACTTCCTCTCCTTTGAGTGGGGCACAGAGAGGGGGAGAAGAAATGTCACCCTAAGTGTTTTGATGTAGAATGCGTTTCATGTGAAGTTCTCCTTTTGCCATGACAACTTTTCTAAACCCACTGCAAATTTAGAAATGTTTCTCATTTCACTTCTCTCGCTTTTCTCCATGATGGCAGCATCAAACAGCAGCGGGATGGGGGTGACTGAGGCAGGTCTGTGGCATTTTCTCCTGGAATAGTGAGCCAGAATGAAGTGATTAATTAAACAGGTGTTCTCTGAGGCTTCTCTGGGAGTGTTCTCGGGGCGAGCAAGTCCTCGGTGTTAATAATGTAACCGGCTTTGCGCCGCCCTTATCGCATCTCCGCTTCCGTTTTATCTGCCTTCCCTGGCCACAAAGGCATGTCTGTCGGGAACGGTGTCGCTGTCGGGGCGGAGGCAGAGAACTGGTCCCTTTATCCACTTTGGTCTGCTGCCGCCTCCCCCCTTTTCCCTTCTTTTCTTCTCTTCAGAGGACAGCACGGAGTGCAGAATGGATTCAGAAAGTGCGTTATACATTAAGGCACTTTCATCTGTGCGTGGCACATCTTCATATTGATAATTATTTCACTAAGCTCCACGCACAGAGCTTTATGTATTAATGACTTTTTTTATTAGTTTTAAACGCTGCCAAGATTGGTCCTAAATGTTATTCTCTCGGCTGTCTTTATGATCATTTTCTTATATACAACTTATGGTTACATTATTTATCCTGTTGGGCCCCTCAAGATGGATGGGTGGATGGATTGAATTAGTTCTTGAGGTTTTTTTTGGTTTTGTTTTTTCTCTCACTAGAAGGAGCTGGGTGCCAAGACTGACTGCCCTAGAATGTGTGCCTATAAACTGGTCACAGTTAAGTTTAAATGGTTTGGCCTGCAGACTAAAGTCGAGAATTTTATCCATGAGGTTAGTGTGACCATTGTGCACAATTGACACTCAATACATTCCTGACGTTTTGACATGAATTCAGACTCTGTTGATTACTGTGGAGATTTTGTAAAATTAAAACATTTTGATGGATGTGCCCTATATTTACTTTGATTTTTGTTTAAGTCTCTAATTTGAAAGATTGCCTGGATTTCTTTGAAATGCAGTGTCTATAAATTTTAAAAACCGAAACATATCTGCCAGCCCTAACTTGCCCAATACCCTCTTTCAGCAAGAAAAGAGGATCTTCACCAACTTTCACCGCCAACTTTTCTGCTGGATTGACAAATGGGTGGAGCTAACAATGGATGACATTCGACGGATGGAGGCAGAGACTCAGAAGGAGCTGGATGAGGCGAGTGCACAGAGCATGTTAAACTTAAAGATGAGGGTGGACAAGTAGTATTCATATGTAAAAAAAAAAAAAAAAAAAAAATCGGTTAACTCAGTTTTATGTACTTCCAGCGCTGCCCTATAACCTGTTTTCACGTGTGTAGCCAAACTTAGAGAAAGTCACATGCGCCAAGATGGACAAAGATCCCCAAAAGTCCAAATAGCGGTCCACTGCAGTGGTCACTGAAGTGTTATGTGTTCTACGTGAGCTAAAGTACACCAGATGTTATTCCGTTCGATTGGATTTGAGAGTAAACTTGAACTTGAAGCTTTTTTTTGGTTAAATTGTTCACAATTTGCCAAACTGCTGCTTATTGGCAAGTGTGTCCAGTTCACTGCCAAACTGCTCGTATCTCATGTCTGATTTCACAAGTCAAAGCACAAAAATAAATAAATAAATCGGTCCAGCAGCAGCTCGTATCTTGCAGAAACTCAGCCAGGTCACTTGTTTCTCAAAGCAGTACTGTACCAGTCTGCAGGCCATTTGGTACACAAAGACTGAGCAAAAAATATATTTTATTGAGTGTCAGAGTCTGCAGAAAGAGTTGTTTTTTAAAAATCAGGTGCATCCTTTCACCTTATTGCTCCATCAAAACGCCCATCTCATGCACAAGGGTGTATGCGGAAAAAGCAAGCCCAAAAGCTGACAAAAACAAGCCTTAGACTTTGTGGAAAGAAAAGCGATTGCCCCAAGTTGGCAGCAGCTCATTGAAGATAAACAAACATGGGGTTCCTACTAATTACAAAGCTAAATTCAATAAAATAGTGATTTGTATTTTTAATCATTTGTTTTTCTTGTTTCTACACCAGTCCGTCAAAGTATTTCTTTACCTCAAACCCGTTCGCTATGTGAAAAGGGTTGGGGACAGCTGAGTTAAAGCAGTCGCTTGATTCAATAATAATAATTCATAATCCACTTCATTTGCCTGACACTTGACAAACTCGACATTTTAATATACTTTGGCATATCCAGGCTGCCTTACAGGTTTTCCCAATTTACTCTACTTTTCATTACGGTCTAGATGCGCAAGCAGGGAGCAGTGTGTGGCACAAAGGCTGCAGAGCAGTAGCCAGGCCAGTCACACATACAGTATTTACCTCTGGGTTCACGGTTGCTGCATTCACTCTTTTGGGTGTTGTCAAATGATGTTTTGTTCACTCTAGTGGTGTTTATGTCTGCATGTGTGTTCCTCCTCCGGATGGGTTTATATATCTGCGCATTTTTTTTACCTCCACAAACACATGCGCATATACTGTATTGTAAGCAGTCGCTTTGTTGAGCATGAGTTACGAACAGAACCCTCGATCGTGGCACCCATGATCCACAGCAAAAATGCAAAGTCAGAGAAGGTGTTTTATTTCTGTAATTCCCATTCTCTGTGAAACCTTACCCACTGATTTTTCCCTTGGGACTCCTGTAAATATCTGAGAGCTTTTGGCCATACAAGGAGAAAATGGAAGAATCCAGGCTTAGGCTATACAGTACTGGCATGGCCTAAGAGGGACAGGCTCAAACATCCCCTCCTATCTACCAGCATGTGTTTTATATTTTCTCTTTGGGTCAGTAAACATTGGTTACGGTTGCTGGACAGGATGATACTTGCGTGTGATGCTAGCCCATGGACTCCGCAACATACAATGTCTTGATTGCAAAAGGTGAAGGACAACCTTAGGTCTGAACGGATGGTGCCTCCTGAACAAAACAGTCATTTGGTGCACACTGGAAATGGTTCTGTCAGAGTAGAGGAAGGAGACGGTCAAGAAGGAAGTGCCAAAGAAGCGGTTACCTTCAAAATGGCTCCTCTTCCTTCATTAACATACAAATGGAATTCTGCCTTTGAGAAGGAGTCTCTGTGTTGATTGAGTGAATGTGCACGGGGTGGGGTGGCTGAAGCAGGAGAGTAATCCTGATGTTGTTTCATCTCGTCTGTCCAGTCCTCAGTTTAGAGCAACAGTTGATTTGAACTGTTTTTTTTAATGTCTTCAGCTATCAGATTCGAACACTAATTGGCTTCCTAATGCGATCAGCCTGTGGGTGGGAGAATCTGAATATTTCCTTTGATTTTTTTTTTTCCCTAACCTACCTCATAAACAAGCTATGGATTGTTTTTTTTTTTGTTTGTTTTTTTTTTATGACTGGCCTTTTTTGTGGCTAGTGTAGAATGGAAAAAATTACAACTGAAGTTGTGGCTTATTGGAAAAAGTTCCACCTGAAACAAATTCATCAATTTATTTGAAGTTGCTCATATCCACTTACGTATACGCCCTCCATTTGAACATCCATTCCTTAACAATCTCTCTCTCTCTCTCTCTCTCTCTACCCCCATAGCTCCGCAAAAAAGGTGAAGTAAGAGGAACAAGTGCTGCAGACAAATAATGCAGCAAAGGATCTCCAACTGCCAAAATAACAGCAGCAAAGTTGGCTGCTAACAGGGCTCCTTCTGTGGCACTTTTTACTTCTTGTGTTCAAACATTCAGGCTGTGGATGAGGTGGGGGGTGGGGGTCCTCATACAATCAATAATCATAAATCCACAAAGGAGTTGATTTCTAGCAACCAACACAATCTTCGCTGACTTCCTTTTGATTTTGCGGCCCTCTCGGTGAATATGAGAAAAAACATTTTTTGCTCAAGTTGTGTTCCACAGGAGCAAATTCACCCTCGTGAACTCGGATTGGCATGTGTTGGACCTAATCTTACCTGCTGTTTTGTTTTTAGCCCCAAAACCTCCCCAGATGATTTCCAGGTCTGTCTTTTTCACAATTTTAGCTGTACACACTGGTTCAGCGATTTGCATTCCTCAGTGTGTGTGTGTGTGTGTGTGTGCGTGCGTGTGCGTGTCATTTTTCTTTTCCTGTTCCTCCACAACCTCCATTAAGAGATTACTATCGCCCTTTGCACCTCCGCCCATTATAATCCTCCCATCAACAGCCCACCTAACCCAAAGCACTGCATCTCAACACTGACAATCATGCCTGTGCAGGTCTTCGCACTCACTCAACGCACGCACACACGCATGTGGACGCCACATCTACACTCATCGCAAACGGGCATGCACACCCTCACAGGTGCAAATGCCTTTGCAGTGACTGATCCCCTTAACGAACCTAGGCGGATCCATGCAGACTCGATCAGACAGGTGACGTTAATTTAGCGGATGTGTTTTTCCCCTTCATTCGCATGTCCAATAGGCTCCCTATTCTGAAGATACCAATTCATGAGTCACTTTGCATTTACTTGGTCTCCAAAAACAACCCCCGATGGTGCTAGTCCCCTCGAGCATGGCGCTGCTCAGCCCACCTTTAATTTGTCCGTCCCAGAAGCCCGCCTGCCTTGTTCTGCTGCTAGAGCTGACTGTGTTCGTCTCAGTCCTCACTGTGTTTACATGAGTGCTTCGCCAGTGCCCAGTTAAAATCAGCGCTCCCCACAGCTTGCCTTAACCTCTGAAGCTTTTGGGCCTAATCATACCTACTGTACCTCTGCAAGCAGCTGCTCGCTTTAGCTACCTCCTTTGTTTCTGGCTGACCATTTCACAGACACCTAAAGATCTCACTGAGCGGTGAATGTTTGCAAGTGTGTGCAAATGTTGTTATTTCGTCCAAGGCTGCAAACAAATTCGGCAATAATTATAATGCTCCCAATCAGTTGTTCTTGTTGCAAAGACATGTTGAACGTGTTCAAAATTTGATAGGGACAAGAAAACTGTTTTGGGAATTTCTGGCGAACATCTTTGCAACTCTTCGCAACTTTGAACAAACCATGACCAAAAAAACACTACGTGCGCACATACATGCAAACATTAGCCGCTCCTTGAGAATAGGGGCTGAAAGGTCAACGCTTGCTATTGCTGTAGCAGCTACTGTACTGTTTGAAGTCAGTGATTGCAGGGCTTTATTACTCTTATTTGTCAAATGTAATTTGGTTGAATGTGTGTTAATTTTCTGAATTTCCACTGTTTGTTGGACATGCCATATTCATGAGTCCTGAGTTTTTTTTTCAACTCCACCGTGTACTTTCCGTATGGCCCTTGTAATCATGTGTTTATGGCTCTTTTTTTTGAATCAATACTGGCCTAACATACACTTACAGATTGATTCCCCCGTGGAGTTTGTTTGTGCATTTGTAATTATAAAGACTAGAGACATTTGTATTGTATTCCAGAATTTTTTTGTTTCTCTTCTGATACTGAGGTCAGTCTGATCATTTCATATCCAAAGAAAGTCACTGCATTTGTTTACATTTATTCAGCAGTAATGAGCTGACAAAACAGGACAAGGAAGCAACGTTGAAAAATTGTATCCAAATGTATATTTTATATTTTGATGTTCCATGAACCACATCCTGTTACTGTGCTCTATGCTTTCAATGGAAATTGAGTATTACAATTTCAGGTTTGTGCAAAATGGTGTGTTGGAGAGCTTGCACCTTTTGAGGATTGTACATATGAGAGATGAGCTGTTGTTCTCATTCTAGCCAAATGTCTGAGAAGCCTTCCTGTCAACAATACATAAAGCATACATCTTTTTGTCGCTTCTGACTCCAGCTGAGAGTCTGACAGAAGACCCACTGGCTAAAATTATTCATTTGAGCTTAATGATCAGTCATAACACTGATAAAGGCAGGAAGTTTTTTTAGTGGAACAATTATACTGTCTGATCCTAAATTATAAAATCTGTAACTGTAAAAACAATCAGAACCGCTTGATTTCAGATGTTTTTGATCCAATTTTGATAATTGGTGAACATGGGATTCAATGTAGGTGTTGTGCCGTTTCTGCCTTTAAATCCTCAAGTGTTATATGAAATATGTGATCTGTATATCGAATAAATTTTGAGAAAAAAAAACTAAGTACACGAGTTTGTCATTCATTTATGCTGCCTGCCATTAATCTCATTTCTCCCCCTCATACAGTGCAGAAATAGCTTGGGCATCACATAGTCTTGTTTTTCAGCTCTTGTAGCACTTTTTTCATCACTTCCTCGTTGCCTTTTTTTTTTTGTTTGTTTGTTATTGGTACCAATAAAAACACTTCTGGAAATGTTTACGGATTTTAAAGATTGACCTAAACTTGAAATTGCCGCAGGTTTGAGTGGCAAAAAGTACGAGTTGCTTTTTAAATCCCAGGAAGGATTGCCTGTCTGCCAGCTGTGATATTGCCCTTTGTCATTGTTTAGAAGAACAGTCTTGTTCTTGTGAAAGGAAACCACTTATTGCTGACCTAGAACAAGCTAATAGTGTTGTTTCTAAAAGCGGAGATGGGCGCACTTGCCCACGCACCACCTGCTAAGTGGCATCTCACAATATTCTACTGTAGGCAATTATCCATCCGCCCGTGTGAAGCATATGAAGGAATATGGCACAAGTAAACCTGTCTTGTTTAAATAAATGGCAACAAACCATGAAGGATTCTTGCGAGCTAGAATGGCTAGTTGTGCGTTTGGAATGTGACCCTCCAGCACAAAACCGATGGGAAGTCGGAGCTCCAGCCCAAAAAGCTGTTTAACCTTCAAAAAAAGATAACTTCCCAGTTGGAATTTATGTGGAGTTCTTACCCTAAAGCCAAAAAAAAAAAAAAACTTTTGCTGAAAGGGTCTAGCGATATGTCCATGGCAAAAGTCAGAAACTAATCAGCTTTTGCTGAACAGAACAAGGAATACCACATGTCTGGTATCAACAAATTTAATTGAAGTATTTTGTTATTACATGCAGGAACAAAATCTCTGGTGGTGTTCAAAACATTCTTGTTTATTGTTGCTAGGCTAACTCTAAAAGGCCACTTGTGATTGGTCAGAATTAATTTGCACTTGCCCAGTTTAAAATTCATACAAGACATCCTGGGACAAATTGGATTCGTATATTCATTCATTCATTTTCCGAACCGCTTTATCCTCACTAGGGTCGCGGGGTGTGCTGGAGCCTATCCCAGCTGTCTTCGGGCAGTTGGCGGGGGACACCCTTGAACCGGTTGCCAGCCAATCGCAGGGCACACAGAAACAACCATTCGCGATCATACTCACACCTAGGGACAATTTGGAGTGTTCAATCAGCCTGCCATGCATGTTTTTGGAACGCCGGAGGAAACCCACGCAAGCACGGGGAGAACATGCAAACTCCACACAGGAGCTGGAATTGATCCCGGTACCTCTGCACTGTAAAGTCGACGTGCTAACCACTCGACTACCGGGCCACCCGCATTCATATATAAATTTATCAAATGAAAAAAAAAAAGCTCCTCTTAGGATATCTGTATGAAAATTTGAGATTTTAAAAGTGCCGTTAATGTCTTTTAGGGGCTAGTATTCTTTGCTAAGGACAGCATTTCAACAACATTGATCAAGATTTTTGATCAAGATTTTCACCTATTTGCAGGTACTTAATTCCTAATCTTTCAATTGACATATCTTCACCAAATGGTGCCCGATTTCCACATCGTAATTATGATTGGAAAGCATTTTTAACACTAGAGCGTAACATGTTTATGATGATCAACTGCATTGTTAGACCACGTGAATGCATATCCTGTTACATGAGTATTGGAGGAAGTGTCACAGTGAAGATTCCATTCACAGTTTAGCCATGTTGTTGCACATGAACTGCCTCTGGGACCACTTTTGCCAGGGTTTTGCAGGTTTTCCTTGGCAAGGAATTTTATTTTGGGTTTACCGCACATTGACTGTGATGTCAAAAGTACTTCCTCAGCTTGGGTCAAGTTTAGCCTCAGCGATTCTCACGAGCCTTTCCTGTTGTTCTGGGTGGTGCGGAGCCCATAGATGAGGAGGAGGAGGAGGAGGTTGGTGGTGGGGAAAGGTTCACTGTCGCATCCCTCCCCTCTGTACAATACAATAGTGCCTCTCTGATGACAGATGCTGCTTAACCTGCTCTGACCCGCCGAGCTGTGATGTTGCAGCTGAATGACAGGCCCAAAGAGGACACACACAAGCTCCACTCCACACTTGCCACACTACACAGGACACCGTCCACCAACGAGGAAATGAACTGTCTCTTTGGGCAACCCCCCTGTGATAATATATGTCGATCTGAGCAAGTGCTCACCACCCTGAATTAGGACCAGAAAAGGACACCCACTTGTGCTATCTTGTCCCATTGAGTAAAATATTGAGACAAATTGAGTGTTAAATCACAGCTGAGTGGAGTCTTCGTGTGGCAGTGCTTGAAAGCCTGCAGACCGTCCGTTGTTGTGACGTCGCCTAAGCGACGGCCCTGCAGCTTCATTTGTCATCACTGGAGGCTCAATCAAGGGGGACGAGACCTTGCCATCGGTTTGTCATACTTAACTTGTCTGTCTCCATTTTAAAACACTGAAGATGGCGCTCACGGGGGATTATGTGCAAGAGCATTAGAACTACAGTGGGAACAATGCCATATTCATTATGTTGATTTCCCCCCTCGCTTTCCTGCAGAGTATACTTGTTTCTTGTATTGTTAATGGGGTTTTGTTATACACAAAGCTTTTATCAGCTGGAAAATGAACATGAAATGTGGTGTTTCGAAGGGGGCTCTGCAACAGTGATGGCAGACATGTCTTAAAGTGTTTTGATATGCAAAAGCTTTTGTGTGCGTGTGTGTGTATGTGTGTCTCTGTCTGTCTAGGTAAAAATAATGATGCTAAATCCAGCTTGGCTTTAGATATGGAGGCGGTTCTCCAGTGGCCTACTGACAAAAAAAAAAACAAAAAAACAGCAAGCTTTTTTTTCTTCTCTCGTCAACACACACACACACACACACACACACACACACACACACACACACACACACACACACACACACACACACACACACACACGATACCTCTTCTTTCTGGAGAAGACAGACACTTGGACCCAGGTCCTCTTAAAAACAAAGTCCTTGTCTTCTCGATCTCAGTTTCTGTCCTTCAGCAGGAAGTGATGCTAAGCATGTTCTTCACCCCAACCCCTCTACCCCTCTTCCCCTTCTCCAAAAGTCCAAATATACAGACACTTACGCACACAAGTGTGTATTGCTTCCATTACCAGCCTATGGTTAGCTTTGAAATCTCACCTCCTCAACTTCTTCCCCCAAAACGTGACCATGTGACTGATTTTTCAGTAAAGAGTGCAGATGAATTCTTCACTATTTGATCCAAAATTTTCTGAGCAATTCATGGGACAGGGTCAAAGAATAAAATGATTTGATGATAAACTAGACAATTAATAAAGCTTAATTACCATTTATCCAGTTTTGTTTTCACCACAAAAACAATTTGACACATTTTTTTAAACAAGTGAACATTTCATTTGTAATTAAACACAACGGAATTCCTCCTCTTACAAGAGAAAGCTATACTGTGTTTTAAATTGGAACAAAAAAATAATTGTCAAGCTGATCACCACGCAAGGACGCACGTGCTACTCCCGGCTCTGTGAAAACAGCCACTGGGTGGCACTGTGTCTGTTCGGTGGAATGCCTCCCGAGTTTCTCTCTAAACACTAAAAGGCAGCTGGACACCCAAGTGTCTGAAAGCTCTCGGTCCACAATGGTGGAAATAAATAACCTTAATATAGTGTCCACGTTTAGCAAAACGCAATACACGTGTTAGTAAATAAAATCACGCTTTTTTTCGAGAAGTTGTTTAATCGCCTTCACAAACCTTGTATGTGAAAAAAGGCAACACAATGTTGAATTCATCTGGTAAATCGTTTCTGGTATATTTTGGAAAATTGTTAAATCACCAGATTAGACGATCCTGAAATGACGTCATTACCAAAATTCAATATAAAGCCAGACGTCAATCCCACCGCCCTTCCTTTTTTTTTAAACTTAAAAAAAAATATTTTCAAGAGGCACAACAGAAACAGCTATCAAGACTAGACTACTAAATTTGCCAACCCATCGAGTTAGAAAAAATAAATTGAAAGCCTACAATCAAACCAATTGAGAATAATTGCAAATGATTCCATCTTTTTTTTTTGAAACACGAAAATGCATCAAAATGTCTCATGATTATTTGATTTGAGGCATCCGACCATTTTACATAACTAATTCAAAACGATTTTTCATTTTGCATTAAAATTTAATCCGATGGACATTTAAAGGTGGATCGACATAAACCAAAGGGCAACATATTGGAAAGATGATTGGTTCTCCTTCGTGTCAATGGCAGGTGCGAATTTGATTGGTCTTTTGGGAATGGGCCACACTTTATAATATCTGGTTACACTAACGTTTTGTTTTTGTTTTGTTTTTGGAAGTGTTAGGCTGTCAAAATCACGATCAGAATCAATCAACCGATCAGAACTAATTTTGAAAATGTTCGAGTTGTTTTTTTTCTTTCTGAATAGATCAGGACTTGTTTTATTGTTGATGTTTTTTTAAGACAGTTGTCATCTGAGTAAGTATATAAAAACACATGTGGACAGTGGAATGTTTCTGCTGAACGTGCCTGTATTATTACGACAATTGAAGAAATAGAATTAATTTTGATTATGCATTATTAAAGCATAACCCATTATATCTCTAATTTGCCCACTGCAGCTCACTCAGACTCTCGTTTTAATGTCCTATATATTATAAGGTGTCACATTAAAAGATGAATACAATTGTGGCAATAAATAGCAATTGGATATGCTCAAACAAAAACAAATTGTGAAAGTCACCCCCCGAATACTGATTGACACATAAAGGTTTACAAATGTCATCTGCTATGGAAGACCACCTTAAAAGCGTTTGTCCCGCCCCCATGCCGTCTTCAGGCCCTCTGATTGGCTGAGGAGTCATGCATGGAAGTGCTGCTGGAAATGCAAAACTTGTTGCTGGCTCCTGCGGACGCGTTCGTTCCGCACACAGCCAAAAGCGGCTAAGCCGAGTGTGTGTGTTCCAGTCAGTGTGCTTCGAGCGCGCACACTTCAACACACGCGCCAGTATCGGAGGGTCACGCACGTTTTGGAGCGGAGCAAGGAGCCAAGAGGTGCCCCGCTTCATCGCAGAGCGAACCTCCACCAGCAAAGTGGAGGATGCTGTCACGCCGTTCGGTGCTTGTGGAGTGCGGGTAGTGCACGCCTCGCAGCCCTGGGAGCAGGACCGGAACCGGGAAAGCGTCGCTCCGGTGCTTTGGCAGGAGATTTGATTTTGAAGGTGGACTTAACATCAAGCCGGACGACTTTGTTTGCGCCTGCAGAGCAAATAATGGCATTCTGATGGACAAAACATTTTTTTTTCATCGAATCTACAAAGACAATTTTAACAATACGGTCGAAAGAGGACTTTTTCTTGATGCCGTTATGGGACTTTATACAGAAAAGGAGCCGTGGGTACTTTGACACCTGATTGGATTAATGAGTGATAGGGCTCAATTTTTAATTTATCAGATTTAGTCATTTTATTTCTTAAGTGCGCTCCTCTCACTTTCGTAGAGACATGTCTTTGTGCCATGATTACGCCGTACAAATGCGCACACGAAACTTTGGCGTGTCGTTAGACAGCCGGGCGGCAAGGTAAATACAATTATTCTAAATGCATTTTCTTGATCAAACACTTTATAATGCGGACATAAGAACAGCAGGGATGCCGTTTAAGCATATTTAGACAGTTTCTCCGCTATTTTTAAGAATTAAAAAAGAGAACATTGTTGATTAATTCAGACTTTTAAAGCAAATTGAATTTTTAGTTGACTCTGCTTTTGGGACCAGACTGCTTTACGGTCTGCCCAATAACTTGCAATCTTACTATTATGTGGGATTAAAGACAGCGTAGTATGTTTAGGCTGGAAAAGTTTGGTTCTCAGATAAATAGCAGAAACCCTGGCCAGTCAGAGAGACAGAAAAACCAACCGAGACTGAACATGGGCTCCCATTATAAAAGTACCAGTTTTCACACTGGTGGTCCACCTGGTGCTGTGGAGCCCGGCATGGGCCCGATGAGTGACCCGCAGTTGCTCGGACTCAACATGAACATGAACGGCGACCAGTATGGAGGTTTTCACTCCCGGGGTCACTCCGACATGCATGCAAGCAGTGGACTTCAGCAGCAGCAAGGACCCATGCATGGATTTTTTAACAACCAGCAACCTCATCAAGGACATCCTCACGGCCATCAACCTCACCCGCACCAACATCATCCTCACTTCAGCGGGAATTTTGGAGGCCCAGAGCCAGGGTCATCATGCCTGCATGGTGCCAGGCTAATGGGCTACAATAACAATGCCATGGGACCGCAGCAGGGCTTTGGAGAAGGATTTGATCCTCTCGCTGAGGGACAGGCGGGGGACGGCTTCCCACAGCAGCAACAGCAGCAGCAGCAGCAGCGGCCCGGTAACATGCCTGATTTCCAACATCATGGTCCTCCCAGTGGCAGCCACGCTGTTCCTGCTCCCTGCCTCCCCCTAGACCAGTCACCTAACAGGGCAGCCTCTTTCCACGGTCTGCCATCGTCCTCCTCATCCTCCTCCGATTCTCATAGCTTGGAGAATAGACGGATGCCCAACCAGGGAGCTGTGGAGGGCTTAGAGTATAACTTCCCCAGTGATCCCCCGTCTGGACATTTCGATGTACCTGTATTTTCCCCGTCCGAGTCCGAATCACAGTTGCCACATTTTGGCCCCGGTAGGCCAGTTCCCAGTGGGAATTTTCCAGGAAACCCTGGCATGCCTCGAGCGCCGGGCATGCAGGGCATCTCCAAGGGACACCAACCTCCACCGCCTCAGCAGCCTCAACATGGAATCTTTTTTGAGCGATTCGGTAATGGCCGGAAGGTGCCCGTGGGAATGGACCCGGGGGTCAATGCGAGACATCCTCTCATGCAACAGCAACAACAGGCTGGCTTAATAGCTAGACAGAACTCATGCCCCCCTGCCCTCCCCCGACCCCCTCAGGCTGAGTCTGGCTCCAGTAATCCGAACATTCTGGACGGAGGGGTCATGATGAGTGGCCAACACAATCAGTTTGAATATCCCATTCACAGACTGGAAAATAGGGGCCTGCATCCCTATGGGGACCCCATGTTTAATATGCAACAGCCAGCTCCCCTTCCCTCCCAACAGCCCCCAAATCAGAGACTACAACACTTTGACGCTCCTTATATGAACATGGCAAAAAGGCCTAGATTTGACTTTCCTAACGCGCACAGCAGTGACGGCTGGTGCGGTGGCATGGAAAATCACCTCTCTCCCTCTTCCTATCCAGGACTACCAGGTGAGTTCACCCCACCTGTGAATGAAGGTTTCCCACCGGGTCCACTGCAGCACACGGGGCCTGAGCAGCAGTCTTTACAGCAGCGACAGAATGCAGCCATGATGATAAAACAGATGGCTTCTCGCAACCAGCAGCAGAGGATGAGGCAGCCCAGTCTGCAGCAACTCGGTCACCACGGTGATGTGCCACCGGGCCCCCTGGGTCATGGAGGCCCAGTGGGGGGCATGCCTCAGCCCAACTTTGACAGGGAAAACGGGGGCAGGATGGCCAACGTTGATGGACAAAATCCGCACGTAAACCAGGAGAACTCCTGGTTCCAAGGGTCCCACCCTCCTGGGGAGATGATGTCACGGCGTATGGGAGGAGCAGGCAATGACTCCGGGCCCCATGACATGGGTCTCCAGCAGAATGGGCCCGGGATGATGTTCAGGCCAGGTATGGGCATGCAGGAACCCATGAGATTACCCGGAGATGGACATGTACAGGCTCTCCATTCCCCGGGCTTGCACTCCCAGTTCAGCAGCAACATGGGCAACATCTCACAGATGCAGTCGCCAGGAGCGGGAGGAGGAACGGGACATCCGAATGCACCGGCAGAGAGGCGAGCGCCCGAATTCCCCGCTCCTCCAATGGGGGCACAAGCGCCATTCCCCTACGGAGGGGCAAACCGTCAAGGGCCAGCTCACAACGTCCCCCAGGGGGTGAACACCTCACCAGGGAGCTACCCTCCACAGTCCGAGTTCCCCTCAGGCCAGCGGTCGTCTGTTAGCAAGCTTGGTGCTCTCTCTCTTGGGAATTTTAACAAAACCAGTGCTAAAGACAGCGTTTTTGGCCAGAGCTGCCTGGCGGCCCTTTCCACGGCGTGCCAGAACATGATCGCGAGCCTAGGGGCTCCCAACCTCAACGTAACATTCAACAAGAAGAACCAAAACGAGGGCAAGCGAAAACTGAGTCAGACCGAGCAGGACATTAATAGCAGCACATCTAACGGGACTGGCAGTGCTGGGCCTGAATATTTTCAGAGCAGCACTTCTCAGAACAACCAGCTGCCTGGCACTGGGAATAGCAACGCTAAGCCTGCAAGTCAAAACCAGACGGTGCAGGGGGAAGCCAGTGCCCTCTCCCCAAATTACAACATGGACGCTACCCCGTGCAGTGAGGGGAAGGCAACAACAGGGAGTGGGAGAGGGAGAGGGAGGAGAAAAAGAGACAGTGGACATGTGAGCCCTGGAATTTTTTTTTCCTCTGAAAATGGAAACCCTGTTGTGAGTCCAGGCCAGCAAACCCCTGCAGCTGGTGTTGGGGAGAGGGGTGGGGGCACGCCCCATGAGAAACACCTGCAATCACCCTCTTGGGGGAAAGGAGGTGACCTAATGTTGGGGGACCAGGCTGACCTGATGTCTTCTCTGGACAGTGGCATTCAAAGTGTCGCCAAGTCTGACGGCAGCTCGCCCCGTGTGGACTTTGCCGATGATGTCAGCGCCCACTTTGGCAATGAGGATGAGGTGTCCTCCAGCTCAGATGCAGGTGGATCCTCAGCCAATAAGTCCAACCGCAGCCCCATGATCGGCGGCTCACCTAAAATGCAAATGAATGGACAGAAAACTTTAGGCTTGGGCATTAACAATCACACTACCTCGACAGCGGACAGCTATGGACTGAGTGCTGGTGGAGCAACGGGCGGCAGTGGAGTGAGCCATCCAGGTACGCCAGGGGTGGAGCAGGTACGCACCCCATCCAGCACCTCCGGTCAGGACGAAATCCATCCTCTGGAGATTCTACAGGCCCAGATCCAGCTGCAAAGGCAGCAGTTCAGCATCTCGGAAGACCAGCCTCTGGCCATGAAAAACGGCAAAAAGAACGGCGATTGTCCCTCTCAGAACGGAGACAACGATCTGGCAAGCTGCAGCCCTGTCGCTGGGAAGGGTTCAATGGGCACTATTGACCTTGACACACTAATGGCAGAGCAGCACGCCACCTGGTACGTGCCCAGTGACAAGGCCATGATGGACGGGTCCGAGGATGACAAGTCCATGGGACTTTGGGAAAAAAACAAGAGCCAAAACAACAACAAAGAAGGTAAGAACATTTTTTTTTAATTAAACTTCCTTTTGTCTTGCATCCCGCATTTCATGAGAACGTTTCTTTCAATAATTCAAATAATCTGCATGTTCATGTTGCGGTGAAAGAGGACAAGATGAATATTTTCTCCGTTTTAAAACCCCTCCATGCATTTTAAATAATATGCCGGTTGGAAAATGTCACTCCCAATGAGAGGAAAAAAAAAATCAGTTTGTCTTATGTATATGTTAATTGACAAAAATATGTAATAACGTATTAGAGCGGTCTAAAAATCCCTTTGACAGCACAAAGACGTTTGCATTTCTCCCCCCATGGTCAATTTTTTTTTAATAGATTTCCTCATTGTAGTGACACTTGAAAAAAGACACCAAGAAAAGTAAACATTTCCCGTGGCTCTTTATCTCAGTTTTCAGGGTGAACAACTGCATTGAGAAGATTAATAGCTTTTGGAGGATGTGCGTCTCGGCGGTGGGGTTTCCCTCGCCTTGTTACGTGTTTGTTTATGTTATTGCCTTGGGATAAAACAGAGCTGCCGAAATGCAATTGAATTGAAATTGGATGGAGAGAATTTTCCCGAATTAGTGTTCCAATTAGTTTCATTTTAATTTGATTCAGGTTTTTGTAATTTAAATCTAAAACCCAACTATGCTGTATAATAGCAGCTGAAACACGTAACATAACCAAAAGAACATACGCATATGAGATGACTTCTACTGTGAATTGTGGTTTTACTTTTCTTATTGTGTAAAACTAGTATTGAAAATGCAGCCATGCAAAACTTTGTGGCACAAGATGCAGTTTCAATTCTCACTTAAATGTCGTCCAAACGCCCAAAAAGTATTGTAATTTGCAATTAATTATTTTAAGTTTTAATTGTATGGCTCTCTTAGTTCAGCCACAATTTGTTATATCACGCTGCTTTTTTTTTAGACCACAATAACAATACACTACGCAAATTTCCAATAAACATACTGTTCATAGAACAATTGATATTTGTATTTGCAGCGTATGATTGTTTTTACAATTATGCTTCTTATAATTATATAATTATAAAAGTAGACATTTGCTAGAATTGCTTCTGTTGAATTACCTCATGTAGTTGTACTATAGAAATTGTTGCAAAAGGTCAATGTCATTTTTTTTTTTTTTTTTTTTACACATGCTTTCTTTCCCCCCTAATAAATGCCATTGTCGTACGACATTTAAAAGGCTGTTAACCACCATTAACTGTAAGCATTGACAGGCTTTTGGTTGCGATGTTTCTGTAATAATAATGGGAATATATAGTCACATAATTGTATTAGCCTCTATCTACCGTGTCTTCAGCGCCTCTTTGTTCTGTTCACTGCAGGCGTAGCGAGAGGTGGGGGGCGCACAGCAAGCTGGGTCTGGATTTGGGGTATATAGTACATTGTTTCTGTGGGACTGGATGGCGGCTGGTAACACTAACGCAATAACTTGTAACCAACCAGAGGCCTAAAGTGACTTCATAAAATTATATTAGCCTACATTATCATACGAGCCCCTTCTGCTATTTGTTTTGCTTGGAACTAGTTGTTTACCACTCACTTTAATGAACAGCGACTCGAGCCTTTTAATTCTCCTGATTTATTGATGTGGTCTTAAGAGGTGCACAAGTTCCGCTAATTTATGCAAACCTCAGTGAAAACAACAGTGCCGGAGGAGTGTGCGTATACGTGTGATGCAAGGCATATATTATAGACACCCGTTTGGAGGTATTTAGATATACTGATGGATTTACCTTTGACAGAGAGACCCAGCATTATTTGTCAGGCTGGCTTCTGCGCCCTGTTGCATGCGCACACAAATCAGTCGAAGAAGAATAGTCTTTTCTCCTCTCCTCTTCTCTCCTCCTTTCTTCCTCCCGCCACCCTCCCTGCATGGACAAGAGGCATGCGGCTCCGGGAGCGATCGATAGCTAGTTAGCACAAATCACGGCTCCTGACAGTTTTTCATTTGAGTGCTTCAGACAGCAAAGATGAAAAAAAAAATGGTGGAGGTACATTTGGGAGGGAACGGGCAATTTGAAGATTGAATCTGATGTTGTGTTTACTTTGGAAGGAGCAATATAACGTATTCATTTAAGATAAATCGGTGCGCACGTTGCAGTTCCTTAAGAGGCAACGTCCCACAGGCTTTTATCAATACAAAAACTATCCACCTCAACCAGTCGGTTCAGTTTTAAGTTGCTCCTCTAGTCTGCACGTCTTTACCATAACCTGAATGTGGCTTTGTCAAGAACGGATTGTGGAAGAACGGATTAACCCTCTGATCGTGTTTTTGTATTTATTTTAGGTTGAGGAACATTCCCATTATTTTTTTTTCGGCAGTTTGTAATACATGCCTGCATGTGTTTTCGTACTTTTTTTCCCCTTAGGTTTCTTCAGTGTCACATTTAAAAATTAAATTACAATTTATTGGATTGAAAAGGCACATTGTGTGCATGCTAAATTAGGTTTGAGACTAGTTTAACTGTGGAGAGGGTCAAAGAGCCGGTCTATTTTCCGTTTTTTAAAGACTTTTTTAAAACTATTTATTCCCTCCCAAGTAGTTGTTTACAGCTGTGGGCACTACAACAGAGCAATACATATAATAAACAAATTCTAATGCTTACATGATAAAAAAAAAATAAAAACAGAAGTTTAAAAGAGGTGCTTTTCTTTGCCTTGCTCTATCCCAGCTGACACTGATGCACATGTTCAAGAAGGATGCGTGCTGCCTTCACAATCCACTGTGCACGTCTTTTTTTTTTTTTTTTTTTGGGCCTCCTCCTTCTGTGACTTCTTGTGTATTTAAGTTTTGAAGGATGTTCCTGTTGAGCTCACCTTCATAAACTTGAATTAAACATCAGGCACCTAAAAGTCTTCCTCATATGATGCGTACCGTTTTGAGCACATTTTGTGATGTGTGCAGTCTTGATAACACGCAACCAGAAATGGGATGGAGGAAGTCAATGAGCTATTTTTGTTTTTCCTTCTCGCTTTTTTCACGTTTCACTTTTTCTTTTTCTGTTCAACACATTTAAAATACTTCACAGCTGACCTGATTGAACAGTTCTACTCTTCACTCACAGTAATAAGTCTTTTAAAGAGCTCAGATTATGATCAAATCTCCGTCGCTCTGACTTTGACAGATTCGACAAAGGAACAGCTTGCATGTTACAATACCACCAGAATCGGCTTTAATCCACACACACAAAAAAGTTGTATTGATATTTCAGCATTGAGAATGATCCTTTGGGACTCTCTCTTTTGACATTTCAGTACAACAACACCTCAGCAAACTGGGCCAGTAATTTGTATTTCCTGTTTTGAAACAGAAAAAAAAATCCCACAATAAAGTGATTGGCACTTGCTTGCATGTGGGGGGGGAAAAAAACAGCTTGGGGCAGTGCTATGTGCTTTGCCTGTCATTACACCGTCTTTCATATTGACTTTTTCAACAACACACGTTGCAAAGCCTCACGCACACTTCTCTCTCCTGGAGTAGCGATAATCATTATGATAATCATAGCAATTAGCTTTGCTAGTATTGTTTCCAAAATACATAATTCATCTGCAGGCAACTCCTGCAATTTGACCTGGTTATTGACAAGTTCATTAGGAGTAGAATTGCTTGTGTTTCTCTGCAGTGAATTTCAGCACTAGGATTGCATTGAAACTACTGTGTCCCTGTTGTGAAGAAAAAACCCTACACTTTTATTTTGATCGTTTTTTTTTTTTTTTTACTGGAATTGTGTTGTGTGATTCTACGGTTAGATGAGTAATGCATCTGACGTTTTCTGATTTTTTTTTTCTTTTGAATTTGCATGTGTGTTTGCATGTCTGCGTCTGTGTGTGCGTGAGTGTGTGTGTGTCTGTGTGTGTGTGTGCGCGCACGCGTGTGTGTGCGCGCATATGGGTATGTAGACAGCGCCACTTGATAGTGTGGATGTGTCAGCTGCAGACATAAAGTTTGATTTATTTAGACTGTGTCAAACTTACAACTCCACCCCATCGACCTGCCAGCCCTCAAAATTCCCTCTTCCTTGGCCTGGTGGAATGTGTTAACATTATTCGAGTGTGGCCAAAGGGAAAAAAAATGTTTTCTTGATTTATATATAGATCACAATTAGGGGAAAAAAAAGCATATGTTACACATGAAGTGTTTTGAAGACATTTTCAGTTATATATAAAACATTTTCCAGTGCACCGAGCCCCTGTTGAAGACAGCACATGGTGTCAGGCTGTTTACTGGTTGGATTAAAAAAAAAAAAAAAAAAAAATTAAAAGAAGAAGCTCATCCAGCATGTTGTTTTCCCAGAGGAAAGGTGTTTGGATGAAAAAGAAAAAAAGTTTCAGAGTGTGGTAAATGTTCTTGTACGGATCAGTGAGTGGGATGCATTTATCTCGGAGTTGCACAAATTGAAGTTAAAAATCAGTGATTGCCAATGTATGTGACATTCATCCAAATGTTTCTCGTTGACTGCTTGCCATTCAACTGTGGCGGTTAAAAAAAAAAGAGAGAGAGAGAGAGAGAGAGAGAGAGAGAGAGAGAGAGAGAGAGAACCAGTTTAGTACAAAGCCACTGAAAGGTGTTGGGCTTATATGTCTGTGCTTGGAAAAAGGTGTGTATGTGTTCTCAGCTCTCTTGAGGTGTCAGTGTTGTCACACTGCCAGCAGTGGTTATGTTGTTTGCCGTACAGCTTGTTGTCAGGCATCTTTAATTTGTATTGAGGAATTGACAAATGACTTATGACACCTGAGCTCTTTTTCCTTGGAGAGAAAACTGAAAGCTGATTGAGAGAAAAAGAAACGAGTGATAGTGGCAGATAAAAAGTGTCTCGCTCCCTCAAGGTAAAGTGAAGTGCTGTTTTACTCGTAACAATAAAAACGGCGCAAAAAAATAAGTTGACTGTATAAATCATGCATTGCATTCTTGCATCATATGTGGGATTTCTGTGTTGTATTTTAAAACATTTGGAGCACTCTTTAAAATAAATGCTGCTATCTTTATATACCAGGGTTTGATGAGTTAAAAAAAATTGGCAAAATTGAAAAAAGGGGTTTTCCGCAGTGTGCCGAGACAAAATAGAGACAGCGATGTAGATCAATATGTCACCGGCTTGGATGACACACTGGACAGGTCATAGACACGCTTGTGAGTTATGAAGGGCCCTCTAAATCACTTCCCATGTTCTGCTTTGTGTCTGCGTTCCTAAGCGCTACTTGTGGCCGGAGAGGTGAGTGTGTGTATTTGTGCTTACGTATGTGTGTGTTTATATGAGAGAAGGTAACCAACGCTGAGGGCAATGCGTGTCTGGACAAGCTTCTCTTTTTAGGCTCCCTTTAAGTTGCAGGCCGGAGAACAGAAAGGAAATTCAAACCAAAATAACCTCTCCGGTCTTGTTGGAGAAATGCGCTGCCCACCCCCTTCTCCCCGAGTCTTTGCAGCGATCCTCCCTCTTCTGAGGCAAAGGTCATAGTTTGGGAGTCGGGCAGAGTTTTTATTTATTTTTTTTTGGGTGGGGGGTGGTTGCATATGCCCTCTTTTGATAACCTCAAGGCTTACTTTTCGAGATGTTCATTTAGTACATTTTGCTCTCCCTTTGAGGCGGGTTTTATCGAATGTGTAAAGTTGGAGTCCCGTGGATCTGACATGTCAGTGGCAAAAGCACTTTTTAAAAAAGATTGTTTTGTTCGCCGTGATTTTTTTTTTTCTTCTATGGATGGTGACGAATTCTTTGTGCTGACTAAGACAGAATTCTCACACCAGGCCATCCATGGCTCCAGTTGTTATGCTAAAGGAATCTGACCTGATGTCACACAGTGTCATAGGAGCAGAGGCCTTTGGGTGTTTTTGTCAGCGAGCGAAGCGGTCTGATTGGACCGCGTGGCGTTTCAGAGAAGATAGGGTCGCGCCCCCAGGAACGCAAGGTCAAAGGTGAAGTGTCGTCATGGAAGTAGAGCTTGGGATAGAAAGGGCAGAGCCATGCCGCTTGAGATCCCGGAGCCTGGGAAATCAACGTGACGGCCGTGAGGAGCTCGCGCCAAAAAAAGAAGCCTTGTGAAAATCTTAACTCTCTTGCGCGCACTTTGTCTCCTCCTGCCATCTTTTTTGTTATTTCAAAGCGACAATTCATTGCATCCACTCGTTTTACATATTAACTTCAAAGACTGCTGCAGTTATTTTTAAACGTAAGCAAACATTCACCGCAAAAATAATGGGAGAATTATCGTCTGCCTCTTCCTTTCACATTGCTTGTTGATTGTGTAGTGACATGCGAAGCTGCGTCACCCCGTCGGATCCCAGACACACTCATGTCATGTACACGCTGTGTGTGTGTGTGTGTGTGTGTGTGTGTGTGTGTGTGTGTGTGTGTGTGTGTGTGTGTGTGTGTGTGTGTGTGTGTGTGTGAGAGAGAGAAGAGAGAGAGAGAGACTCATCACACACTAAATAAATATGTCACACTTGAAGTCAAAGCGACACATTGAATTTGGTATTTGTGTAGTAGCACATTGCTTTGGTAATCTTGTCTGTCTGGGATGTGTTTAAAGACAATTTAGGTGTGTTTGTCTCCTCGGGCTGAACATTTTCTCCTTTTCTTCGTGCTTCTTGACGCTGAGCTATAGTTCCCCGCAGATTAATGGGCTCTGATTGATATTACTGTGGAAATGAAATCTGTGTTAGCCGGTGAGCAGCCATAACCACGGAGATCTTATTGGGAGCTGAGATTTCCCTGTGTGTAAAATGTCACGGTGATTTGGGATTTGGACTTGTGTGATGTAAAATTTCACGCCATCGTTTCCAGTTTTGACCAAGTGTAACCGGTGGTGTCCGACTACGTTGCGTTTGCGAATATTGATGACGCACAGCAGGATTTCTTGTGTTGGTTACGTTTAATGGTCTCCATCACAAAGCCTGACAAAAATAGCCGAAAACAATGTCCTCCTCGTCTGTTATACTGATACGGCGTAGCCTTCCCCGTGGAAATCAAGAGAGAAAGGGGAGAGTCAAAGGCGTGAGTTCAACTTAAAAGAGGCACTGCCGCATTCATTATTCAAGTAGGGGAACACATACAAATTTTTGTTTCACCATTTAGTAATGGAGGATATAGTAAAAGAACACGTCAGATATTTATCATTTCACAGATGTGGCGTAATTATAATGCAGTAGAGTAAGTATTTCCAATTGTTTTAATGGCCCTGTTACATTGTGATGTACAATTTCACGCCATCATTTCCAGTTTTGACCAAGTACACTCACTGCCATGGATAATGTGTTCCATTTACATGTGGCGATGTGTTTTTTTTTTCTCCTTCATCAAAAATCCCACCATTTAACCGTGTCATGTCATATTTTTGGGGGATGCCATCTATTCATAAATCCATTTTCGACACATCTTATCCTGTTTGGGCTCGCTGGGATTTTTAATTTGATATTTTTAGGCCTAAAGTGTTAACTCAGATGCATGTGAATTATGCGCTAATCGTACTGCATTTGTCCTGTTTTAATGAGGTGATATATAAATTCTGCGCCCAATTTTAGTGCCATCGAAATATACATGTGTATGTGGAGCAGCGGCTAAAGGCCGATGCGGGTATGGCAGCGGCGGCAGCGGTTGCCGTGTTGTGTGTGTTTGGCCGAACGTGTTGTCAGTTTGCTGTGTGTCAACAGTGAGCCAGGGGAACGCTTGGCTGCCTATTCAGGCCGGTGTGGACCCCGCTGTGCCCAGCTAGCATGAGCTGCCGGCGGCTGCTGGAGGGCGCTGAGACAAGGGAGTGAGAGTGGGTGGAGGGAGGCAATATGCCCGAGTCAAGGGGGCGGGGGGGGCTTTGCCACGCTGAGGTGTATAACCGGACCCCCTGGCAAATGTTGGGTCTCATCAGTCGCACCTCCAACGCCGCTTTAAATCCTCATTTCTCCCTCACCGCGTCCGCCCGCTTAACATCTTGCTTCTTTGGGAAAGAGAATTTTGACAAAATCCTCGCAGAGTCAAACGAAACAACAGGAGGCTTGGCTGCCTGACCTTTTACCAAATCCTCCACTTTTCCAATCCAGTGGTCACAGTCCAGACAGGCTGGTGGGGGCAAGCCTGTGTGTCTGCATCTCTTGGTTGTCCTTGCTGTATGGCCAGGCTAGGATTTGGCAAGGAGGTGAGGGATAAAAACGGTCAACAAAAGCCCCTACCCACCAGAAAGTACAGTTCACGTTAGCATGCTCTTTTCCACCGTCAAGACTAAAGGATATAACAAATCCAGTTATATCCATACCAGTTGCATATATGCTTATATATGTCAATATCTATATTTATATTGCACTTATATTGAACTGTGTACAGCTCTCATTATCTACATTTATTTTTGTGCTTGCAAACACTTTGTGTTTCTTCTTTCTACCCCCCAAAATTGCTGCTGTAGACTGTAAATTTCCCCAGTGTGGGTCAAATAAAGGATATCTTAATCTTAATCTTAAATCCATTCTGTTGTTATTGGACTAGTCGCTGTAGTATTTTACCTACAACGTAGATACAGTATCACTTCACAGTCGTCACCAACATGTGACAACGGGAATGTTTTTTTCTGTTTAAAAAAAAAAAACTAATCTTGGATATAAAAATGAAAAAAAAATCACAAAATTCTGGATGCCCTTTTTTGTTTTCTTTTGTGTACTGTCCCTTTCTTCTTTGGTGTTGAATGTATTAGTTATGCTGTGTCGTGCTGCCACGATACCACAGTTTTTACAGCCATCACCATTATGATCCTACAGCCCTTTTGTGCTTCCAAACTGTACGTGGGAATCAGAACCGCTGTGTCGGTGGTTGTGTCGTGTATCTCAGCCTGTGTGAGGCATGTAAACTCAGCTCATCCGGGCTGCCTTCTCTCCGCTTCTACACTCGTCTCGTTCCCGATGTTGTCTTTGTGCATGACACTGATGTGTTTCAACCATCCACACGGTGCTAAAGTATAGGTTAGCGTGTGTGTTTGGCCAAAGGAGATGGGAGAGTAATCAGACTGGATGTCTTCACACACTTCCCCTGTGCTCTTGGCTCAAAGGAAAAATCCAAAGCACGTCGTCCCTCCATTACCTCTGTCCAAGTTGCGATGTGTCTCTCCTCCCTCCGAGCTTCGCTTCCTCCCTGCCCCGCACTCCGCAGCATATTGGCAGATGATATATCGTTTAGAAAGCACTTGCTGTCCTCGTCAATCTTCCCCTTGACTAAGTTTTTCATTACACGACTCAGAGTGATTTTTCTCCATATGTGCAACGTGCACCGCGGGCGTCAGCATTAACTCTCTGGCACAGCAGATTTTTTAATATGATGTATAATCAACCTGTGTATAGATTTTTCGGGAAGCTCTACGCAGCCGTTTAATATGAGCCTCCACATCTCTGTGACACCGGGTCGATACGGCGGCGCAGTCATTATACCAATAAATTGGGTCAAGCAGGGTTAAAGGCCAGTTTTGTCAGTGTCCTTTGACCCCGCATCAAGGGTCAGCGCAGTTTTGCTCGTGAGAGGCACTCGGACCAGAGAAGGTAGAAGTGATGGAACACTGTTCAGTTAATATCACAGTGCAGATTTCGAGTGGGATGTGTAAATGACACCGGTTTCATTAAAATTGTATTTAAATGATTCATCCGCCAGTCGCTAAATGTTGCTCATTTTGCGCAGATGTAATTAACCTTTTTCTTTCTCCACTTGCCTGCAGACTCTGAGCTGTCCCAGAGTAAGGCTGCAGTCGGGACCCCCGGGGCCAGCGGAGGAGGGGGAGGCGGGGGAGGAGGAGGAAACCACCTTCAGTGCCTGTCCGTCCACTGCACAGACGAGCTGGGGGACAGTAAGGGCAGAGGAGGGCCCGTTTCTTCATGGCGCTCGCTCCACTCTGATATTTCCAACCGATTTGGGACATTCGTGGCGGCACTGACTTGAATGAAAAGCTGTCCCACCACAAAAGAAGAGGACAAACTAAGATCAAAGACAAATGACAAAGAATGATGATGATAAAATGTGGAAAGTGCGGGCATCTCTTGCCTGTTCAGGGAGAGAATGACTTTCACGTATAAATGGCAAACACCCACACACACACACACACACACACACACACACACACACACACACACACACACACACACACACACACACACACACACACACATATATCACACACCCAAACACGCGCACACACCCACATATACACACACGCTACAAATACAATTTTATTGTCAAAAACATGCAGTCACTCGCTCAGACACTGCTGGACATCACAGCGTGGGCTCTACTTAACGATGCCCGATCTGGAAAACCTCAAATCTACATGTATATTTTTTCTTTGCTTTTTTTTTGTTTTTGTTTTGTTTTGTTTGTTTGTTTTGTTTTGATGAAAAAATATAAACTTGTCAAACAATGATTATGAGATAGCAAAAGCAGATATATTCAGTTGCCACTGGCTGTAATTGTGTAGCAGTGTTGACACGTGATGTACTTGGCAGGCTGAGGGATTTTTTTTTTTCTGTTGTTAGTAAATATGGCCTTTTTGCTCTCCTCACATATGCGAAGAGCTCTAATGTATATAAATATATATGAACCCATTGTAAGCAACTCTTTGCCCCAAAAATTTCATCTGACTTTCACTTATTTTGATCATTTTTGTCCTTTTTTAAATGAGTGGACTATTTCATTGGAAGTGGAATACAGAAGCATAACAGAAGATGGATGAATATGCATGAATGTATATTTTTTTTGTTTGTTTATTTTTTCTGTGCAAATACAACTATTTGCCTCCATATTCCAAGCAACTTTTTTTTTTACTGCTGCTGTTCATTTATGTTGTAAGAATCTTCTCCTCTCATATTCATGAGCTCAACCTTGTATACAATTCAGCCAATGGGAACTGAAATGGAGGCATTTGCATTGTTGAATTGAAAAAAATGGCTATTGGTATTGCACATGTATAATAAGATTTAAAAAAAATGCTGTGTGTTGGGCAATCTTGTAATCTTTAAATAAAGCTTCTGTTGAATTTGAATTTCTGAAACAATAGATGGAGGACTGTGACGCAATTTATGAACTGATTTTTTGTTTACTTTTTAAAGGATAAGTAAAGTGCAGTCGTCTGTTTTCCTGCATATTGTATATATCTGTATATGTTTTATTGAGTAACTAAATAACAATAAATATGACGTTAAAGGTGGAACTTTGCTACCTGTCTATGTATTTGCTTTTTAAATTTTTTTTACAGCAAATAAAAATGCAATGTTTACATACCCTACAATGTTTACATTGAGAACCATGAGCCAATGCAAATTGTCTGCCGTGTATTTCAAATGACAGCTATGACAAGGAAGTTGTGAACTGAAGCACACCAAGTGACAGCAATGCAGGTTCTTGTAAAATATAAGGACGAGACGTGGCAAATAAGCGACGCTGTGCAATGCTCATCTTAATGGATTAAGACTCTAAGATGATTCATTCTGTGTACACTCGTTCACAACGCTCGTCTCATTTCATCCTCACATCTTTAATGACAGTCCTGCTCAACTCACGCAACTTGTTATAAATCGGAATAAAAAACAAAAACCAAAAAAAAAAAAAAAAAAACAGTTGCCATCGGAGCAATAGGCTTTTTGCAAGATTCCATAATCAGCCCAGAGAAATATTCAAATGGGTATTTTAAGGTGAAGGCAATGTGGTAGAATAGTGGTAAACACCTCTGCCTCAGGAGATCCTGGAGTCTTTTGAGACATTGACATGTTTGCAGTACTGCAGTTTCCTCCCACATACCATAAACAAAGCTTTATGATGTTAAATACACGTTAATTGAAGATTCTGAATTTCCCGTTGCCGTGTGTATGAATGGTTGGTTTGTCTGATTGACAGGTGACCCGGCCTGAAGTCAGCTGGGAAGCAGCTCACCCTTGACCCTACTGAGGACAAGTAGTGTAGAAAATTGATGGATTTGCAGATGCTTGTGGACTGTCTAGAATTTTCTTCATTTCAAATTAGCCTATATGCGATGAAACCATTTTATTTTTTATTTAAGATTATTATTATTAATAATTTAAGACTATATTACAGTCTCTTGTTCTTTTCCAGATATGGAGGTCTTGGTCGCTTTATGACATTTCATTGTTACGAATGGCACACAGAAAAATGCTTTGTCCCTTTCTGAAATTGAAGCCAACCACAGGCGTGAAGGTAAGAAATGATTCACATTTTTCATTACTTTTTTTTCATTTGATTACTTTATATCTCCAGCCTAGAAGTGTTTGTCATACACGTATTTATTGCACTTTCGATTTTACTATTGCTTGAGAATACGTTAATAACAGGCTCTGTTCTGACTGACTAAATTCAGTGTTGTAGGAAACCCCTGTAAATTGTAAAATATTCTGCAATCACTTACAATCTATAATATACGATATAACTTCCCTAACCAAGATAGTGGCATCAACAGTCAAAAGAAAACGTTTCAAATGTGCGCCCTCTCATGTAGCCAAATATGGGAACAGTATGATGCAGTTCAGTTTGCAACCACGATAGTAAAAACATTCAAGTCAAAGAGCCGCACTATTTCTTCTCTAATGAATTATTGAAATATGCATTTATAAACAATGCCATACAAGTATCCAGTCGCCCCTTCCTTCCCCCAGCTATCTTGACTCGTTGCTATCTGCATGAATACTTACTGCCAATCAATGAACCCCATGTCGTATCTCTGAGGTGGATACGTCAACGCTACCTAGCGGGGCTCACGACCAGCCTGCATCGCTGCTGTCTTTCTTTCACAAACACACATCGTAACCTCGGCTCGGTTATTTGGGTTTGTTTGACAATGTAGCAGGAGCCTGCAGTGTAGACAGACATGATGCCCAGAGAACCTCAGCGTTGGCAAACAGCAGACAAAACAGGCTATGTGACTGGCATCACGTGGGAGGGAAAATGGGAGAAGAAAATGTTTTGATTTCTGAATAAATGAAATATATTTTTTAAGTGACACTTTATGGTTTTGAGTGTGCGTATTTTTGGGGGGTGCAATTCGGTATTATCTGCCAAGTGTTACACTCAAATGGCAAAAGTATTTTGTGGTTGAAATGTTGAGATAATGCGCCAATTTGTTTCAGGTGCGGCCCAGTATCCCAACAAAGGAACAGGAAGTGGAGAAGTGATCAAAGAATCACAGAGGTGAGTTGGTGAAAATGGAGGAATGACACAATTCAAAGGCTGTGTAGTATGGAGAGAACGAGAGAATTCAAGAGGAAAATAATACAAGTGGTAATGTGCAGAAAAATAGAGCAGAAACCAAAGATTAGAATTGTTGCATATTGATCATGACCTGGGATTGCTGATGTGGGCAGTATGGTGGGAAGAAGTTGCACTTATTATCAAATGGCCATTTTTCTGAAATTCTGGTTTATTTTCGATTGTGGCTTTGGGCAGTAGATTATTTACAGCAGATGGACAGGATTGAAGATAATTTCTTTGACTGAAACCTGGTGCTGCAATTTAGTCTACACTGACTGTATATCAATTAAATCTTTGTTGGAATAGACTCATTTATTCAGAGTATTAGTTTGTAATTCTTTTAATCATATACTTTTTGTACTTGTAATCTTTGTGTTTGCAGCCGGCCATTTTCTGTTCCAGCATGACTGTACCTCAGTGCCTGAAGCAAGGTCCATAAAGATCAGTTTCACAGGGAAAGACGTCTGACTTCAACCCGGTCACACAGTTTTGGGGCAAAGTAGAGCAAGAGATTGTGAGTCAGGCCAGATTTCACTTTTCACCGTTTTTCTCTGAACTGTTCATCTGGATGATTACATCTCCCAGATACTTTGCCAACATCTTGTAGAAAGTCTTTACTCAAGAGTGGAAGCTTCAAAATGGAAAGTGACTTCATGTTATGATTTTTTTTTTAGAGTCTGAGGAGAGAAATGACCATATATATATATATATCATTATATATAAGGATGTATATATATATATAGAATACCACTTTGTTCCATCCTTTGTTGTTGAAAGAACATCTTGCACAAACAAATTCTGCTACATTTGCTTTTACAGTCAGCTCACTGTAGAAGTGTGTCCTGAAAGTGACGCCCTACCTGTCTGTCTGGTTTGACCAACCTCTTTCCTGGAAGGATGGGCATGTGCTCACAGGTTTCGATGACACGCTCGATGAAATGCAGGTTGCTGTTTTGTTGTACGTGTCGGCGCTTGCACACCTTAACGCCATTTGAGATGATGAAAGTTTGTCGTCTGCAGCGTACCGGGAGAAGCGATACCCCCTTTTTGTGAACATGCCTGCTGATTAGCCTCAGACATGCAAGACATGGTGACAAAGAGTCCTTGGGGTATTGGCTCCGGTCAAGATGTATGGTGCTGGATCTTTTCCTTCAATGGGCTCCTCTGCATGGCAGCCAGGCCCGAGGGATGGGGGTGGGGTTGTTGGTGGACACCGTGCGGTTGCTTGAGAATTTGTGTGTTTCCCAGCCAACGCACATCCAAAGAATAACAATTTCACTCGCCATGAAGACCATCCATGGAGCCGTGGGGGTCGTGTCCAGAAAGCTGGGCCAAACACTTTGCTCTCATGCAGCTTTCTGTGTACTCCTATAAATACATCTCCTATTTGTATAGAGGCGATATGCATCTTTGGGAAAATACCACAATGTTGACATAGGAGCACCCTCCACACACCCCTACCGCCCTCCCTCCACCCCACTTTCTCCCTTCAACACTTTCTAGCCGTTGTTCAACTTTTGAGACGAGAACGGTGAGCGAGAGAGAGAGAGAGCGAGAGGCAGAGCAAGAGAAGGACGGGGAAATGGAAAGAGATTGGGAGTAAAAGAAGTGTCTTTTGGGGGCCTCCACGGTCTTTAAGCTACTATGGTACCCACCAGAGCCCTCACATACACTCGGCATCTAAAGGGCTTTTGTCCTGTAAAAAAAGGGGCTTGGCTAAATTGGGGGTGCTTGTGGATTGGCGGGTGGGATCGGACTTGCTGCAGTATATTTGTCTCCCACGTCTCCATCACTTTTTTATGAACTAGGTGGGGTGTCGTGGGGAGGGGCAAAAAGGGGCTCAGGTTTTTGGGGGGAGTGGGAGGTTTGGAAATCTTCCAAACATTGCCTTTTTGCTTTCAAAGAAAGCTCACTTGTGTAAATGTACGCTTTGTCCCTTGGCTTATTGTTTGAATAGCATTGTGGACTTTTTTTTGTGAGCAGCTCACAGGGGCCGCTCGGGGCCACAGAGGGATGGAGGGGGCTTCTATAGTTGAATGACTCTGAGCTAGGACAACAGGGTTTCGGAAAGGTATCATTAAGGATCTGTAGCCTTAGGATCTTGGTTCCGCACAATTGCTTGCAAAACTGGTGGACAGGAGCAGGAACATCCATTTAGAAGTAAGTGTTTCCGAGTTCACAATCACACTGGCGGTAGACGCTATTTGAGTATGCTTAATTAAGTTAATGAAGTTAAGGCCAATTGAGAGCACAAGGGTTGTGTGGACTTGTGTCCCCCCCAGATGATTGGCTCATTGTTGGGCGCTCTTAGCTGATAGAAACAATATGAAAACAGCCGGACTCCAGGCCTCTATAAAGGGATTTCCTGATTGAGCTGAATGTCTGGAGTGTTTCACTGAAGTCAATTCATGACTTCCATCTGTCCTCTCCCCTCTCCCTTTCTTTCTGGCAGGGAAGCTGGCAGGTGGAAAAGAAGCCCATGCATTTGCATGTCGGGCCCATTTACATTTATACAGTCTATGGTGGCCTGTCACTCACTAATGTGCGCGCTTTTTCCTTGTGGAGTTTTAAACCAGTCGTGAAAGTCGAAATAAATATCATGTAGCATTTTTTGCTCAGTCGCATATTTTTTCACAATTTAAAAATGTTACCAACATGTCTATGGCATATTTTAGCAAGCATGCCTCAATGATTAAGAAAGAGAGATATCTTTTTGCAGCATATTTCTTGCCAGGGGGAAATTGGCTCGTTTTATGGGGCAGATCTGTTTCATGCATTGCATCAGTGATATGAAAAGCAATTCATTGTTACACTTAAACCAAAATGAATCACGACGACATGCACAAAGAAAGCTTTGTCAATCCCCATCCTACTGTCCTTAATTAGTTTGGTATTATATATTTTCTTTGTACTTACAGATTCATTAGCGCTTATGAAGACAGCAAGCCACTGAAATACCATTTGTGTGGCAGTGTGGCGCATGACAGAAATCTAACAATGTTATTATCAGAAGCTAATATTACTAATCTGTGCGAACACTGCAGCTCTGCTTGGCTTTTGTGGTTGCCATGACAGTCCATCGGCAAGCACGTCCAAGTGGCTCTTCCGCTCCGAAACTTGACCAGCCTCCCCATTTATGTCATTGGCTAAGAAACTCGGAATGGTTATTATGCTCATTAGTTGTGCACTTTAGTTGCGTGCAAAACAGCTTTTTCATGGACTTATTTTCATTGGTAGGCAGATAACTAAAGTTGGTAATTATATTGGTTGTTAAATTACACCTTTGATGGGAGGGCAAGCACTCCAGCGCCCCAACTCTTTGGATACAAACGTTAGAAAGTTAATTATCCGTTTTATGACCCCTTTAAACTAGTCATTTTTATTAGCAGGTTTATTTAACAATTTCTGTTCACAATTATGCATCATTGCGGCAACAGGTGCAAGTAGTTACGCGGACCAGAAGCAGACTTACATTCAAATTCAATGAGGATAATCCTTTGAGGAAGGATAAGTAAGGCCTAGTAAATCTCCCGCTCTCCATGTCAGGATAGTCTACCTTAGTTTCTGCTACTTGGTCTTGTGGGTTATTCTCAAGTAAATCCCCAATGTCACCGTATGGTCCACTAGCTCGCCACATGTGGTTTTCTGTGTCTGACTCCTTTGCCATCTCTTGGTATCTTGTGACCTCTCTTTTCTCCGATCCCGTCACTCTCGGGACTCGCATGGGGGGCTTTCTGTTGGAAGGTGATTGAGCATGGTACCCTGCTCCGACCCTGTCGTGCTTTGTATGGGGACGTGTGCCTGTGTCAGGGGCAACAATTAGTGGGGCGCGTCCCTTATCATTAATCACCAAACAGTCCTGGATCTCAGTCTAGCAGAATGTTGACTTGACTTGCTTGAAATTTGGTGGCACTTTGACTTGACTTGCTTGCTGCTTTTTTTCCCCCCCTACAGTGACTCGGGACTTGCTTGAAACTTGAAGGTTATGACTTGAGACTTGTAACTTGCACTTATGTGACTTACTCCCACCACTGCTATCACCCTCATCATGCAGACTCTACCTAATGCTCTAAGCAGAAATGTCAAATCCAGTTCCGGAAAGTAAAAATCCTGCCACAGGTGCTTCTTCTCATGTGGCAGGCAAACGAGCTCCCCGTGAGCTGGTTTAAACACACGTTTAAACCACCGAGTTCTTGGCCTGCATTTGACACCTCCGGTTACAACCAATGTGTCTTTAAGTGTTGTGATGGACTGCAAGCAAATGCTATGATGAAATAATTATGTTGACATTATTTTAACATGATAACAGCATTTTGTTTTTCTTTTGAGGAGGAGTGCGATTTGGAGGTGATACTGGAGCATCCTTTTTCAATGCAACAGCCAAATAATTTCCATAATCCGGAGTGACGCTGTGACCCATAAATATTCATAGTGTTCAACTCAGAACACCATCAATGGAAGCTTGTGCGTTTTTTGATTTGTGTCACTGATGAAAAATGATTTTTTTTTGTTCAGAGAAATGTAACAGAATGTCTTGAATTTCATCATTGCATATTTACTGCAGGCTATTGCATCAAATTCTTTTGCTGTAAATTGGCTAAAATAAGTAATGTGGGTTGTGCAATGAAGTTTTGAATCCTAGTGTCGAGGTAGTATGCTTCCCATCTTGCAGCCATTTAATGAATTTACTGTCATGAATTATCGATCTATCTATCTAATGTATTGCACACCACACAAAAAACGGACAAGGCAGCATGCAGGGAAAGATTCAGAGTGAAAGAGGCGTGCAGAGAGTTTTCCAGGACTTAAACAGTATGGGGACCGTGCTTTGCTCAAGGGCACCTTGACAGTAGCCAGCAAGCAGACGATCTTCTCTCCAGCAACTAGCCGCCATTTTCACATTTTTGTCCACCGCAGGACCCAAGCTCCCAAGCCTAAACAGATGAGCTACTGCCACCCCATTTCTCATTTCTGCAAATGCACCGTTCACACAGGGCAAATATGAACCTGACCTCTTGTGGGAAAACGCTCCCTCATTTAGCGTCCCACTCAGAGTTTCCCGATCACTACCGTGGCAGGATGTTCAATATTTGTCATCAGACGATCACGCATTGATGAAAGAAATCAATGAATGATTGGCCAGAATGAGACAGGACGGCATGCTCGTGTATCCACTTCCTCGGGATAAGAGCAGAGATAAGAAAGACACAAAGAGAGAGATTCAGATTTGTGGCTCACAAGGGGTAGAGCAGTTTCTCTCCTGGGTGCTGTACGTTTTGTAGATGGGGATTGTGAGCAAAATGATGAGTGGACTTAGAGGCGGGGGCAGTATCAAAGGAGACAGACATTGTCTTGTTTGCTTTTTTTTTTTTTTTTTGCATATGTGCATGGATATAACACATTGGACTGTTACAAATGCATACAGTGGCACCAGATTATTTTTGCGCATTTACTTGACGCCCCCCAATACGCACACACACACACACACACACACACACACACACACACACACACACACACACACACACACACACACACACACACACACACGCGCGCGCGCTTACGCGTGAATATACACATAGCAGCCATAGCTCAGTATGCTGACCATTCTCTTCTGTCTTTATTTAATGCATAATGATTTTTGGGGGTGCAGGGGGGGCTGGTCTCTCTCTCTCTCTCTCTCTCTCT